ACAACTAAAAATATATAGAAAAAATTAGCCGGACATCGTGGCTCACGCCTGTAATCCCAGTGCTTTGGAAGGTGGAGGCGGGAGGATTGCTTGAGGCCAGGAGTTTGAGACCAGCCTGGACAACATAGTGAGACCCCATCTCTTAAAAAAAAAAACAACCGCTGGGCATGGTGGCACATGCCTGTAGTCCCAGCTACTCGGGAGGCTGAGGCAGGAGGATCGCTCGAGCCCAGGAGTTGGAGGTTGCCGTGAGCGAGGCTGACGCCACGGCACTCTAGCCCGGGCGACACAGTGAGACTCTGTCTCAAAAAAAAAAATTTTAAAAAGAGCTTTGTTGAGATGTAATCCACATGCCATAGTCCTCACCCATCTGACGTGTACAATGCAGTGACTTTTAAGACATTGGCGGCTATGCAGACAGCGCCCCAGTCTATTCTCGAAGATTTTCGTGATCTCACAGGGAACCCTATTGGCTTCAGCCGTCGCCCCGAATCTTACCCCCTGCCCCAGCCCTGGGCAACCACGGATCTGGTTCCGTCCGTGTGGATTTGCCGATTCTGGACGTTTCACGTCAACGGGATCACACGGCTCGTGGGCTCTCGTGACTTCCTCTGCTCAGCGTGACGTTTCAACGTGTGTCCGCGTGTGGCATGTGTCGGAATCCCCTTCCATCCCATTTTGTTCGTTCATTCACCCAGCGACGCACGCCTGGGTTTTCCCGTGATCTGGGAATCGTGAACGACCCGCCGAGAAATTCACGTGTCATTGACACGTGTCTTCATTTCCCCGGGAGCAGAATCGCTGAGTTACATGGTAACTCTGTGTTGCACGGTTTGATATACAACGTTGCTCAGCAGATATTATTTTACATTCCGTATACGACATGCATCTGTACGACTGACGTGGATATTGGATGTGATTTACTGTTTATTGAGCATTTATTTAGTATTTCACTCTATTGCTAATTAGGTCGTTGTGTCTTAATGTATTATTTTATTACCATTAGTTTTTTTTTTTTTTGAGAC